TGATTTGAATGAGTATCACATATCAAAAGATTTATTTTTAATCTTTCGTGCAAAATTTTTAATGTGTAATTCATATTATACCGAATTATTGTCATTCTGTATGAATTCTGTAGCATGTCAATCGTTATACCGAATTATTGTCATAAGTTTTTGATTTTATAACATAGATCATCCTATACGATATCGATATCACCCCGTACTATTTATTTTCATTCATCTGTATGCACGTAGACGGTTATCCAGGTACAATCAGTTATTATAACAGATCGTACATACGAAATGATATTTTGTCTGTATGAATCACATGTCATTTTTTTGTGGGGGACAAATCTAACTGTCATTAAAATGATCTTAAAAAATTGATCATCCCAGATGAACACCTATTCATCTGTTTGATCATCTGGTCAAAAAGTTTGTACGAAAGGATGCTTCGTAACTTATGTGATTTGGAAAAGTCATTTTGTTTTGAACGTTTTCGTTCGTCCATTCCAAAAAAATTTGCGTCCCATATGATCTCAAGAACGTACGTACGAACTGATTTTTGTACTGTACGAAGGGACATTTTTTTTAAATATGAGGGCTTTAGAATTCATTTTCATTCACTTCAAACAACCTCCTTGAATCCTTCTCATCTTAAAAATGGCAAGTTCTAGCAAGCGTGGTAGAGTTTCTAAGGGTTCATCATCTAAAGGTGGAGACGAAAACTTTATGTCTAGAGCAAATGAAGATTCCTAATATAGGTTTGTTGCTGCAAAAATCACTCTGTCAAGACTCTTAATTCAAGAAGATATCCACTTTCAATTCATGTCTCTTTTTGCTTCAACTCAATTCACCTTTATTTTAACTTTGATCCATGCATATCATAATGAGTTCTTTCACTACTTTTTAGCGAACATGAGTTATAGCGAGAATGAGAGACAAATAACATATTTTGTTAAGAAACCATGGGCAGAAATAACCAAGAAAGATCTAGGAAATTATCTCCACTTAAGGACTCGTGGGACAAGAGCACACTTTCAAACCTCCAAATCTGACTATGATTGGTCCTAAATAAATAAGACTCTTAGAGGTGTCACTCAAGTTTCTCACTTGGCTAGAGTATATACTTTGAATCAAAATGCTAGGATCATCCAACATGTCCTTAGAACTTTAATGATTCCTAAGGCTGGTGATCGCATTAACATTACTCATCTTCTGTTAATAATGACTACACAACCAATTGATGAAGCCCAACTCATTATAGATTACATTCTTTCTGAAATTTAGTTTGCTTCTCATAGGAGGAAGAAAAATATTACACTAGGACATCTAGTGACCTATATCTAAAGAAGAAGTAAAACATTTTTCATTCTGATGTTCCCACTAAGTTATCAATATACTTCACCGATGCCTCTTTTCGATCTCTTTTTGGGAAGAATGACAATTCTATTGAGGATACTAAGGAAGAAGGGGGGGGGCACCTGCACCTGCTCAAGGACATGACTTTTAGGAGATGATCCATCACTTTAATCGGTTAGTGTCATTTTGATTAATGTTTTGATCAAATTCAGACTCACTTAAATCAGCAGGATGCATAGTACCAGCAAGACATACGTTGGATTCGAGGTCAATTCAACTCGATGAACACTAATATAGCTATGATGAATAGCTATTTCTTAGTCTTCAACCAGCCTCCTCCTCCAGACCAGAGTCCCTCAGAGTTTTAGATGTACTTCATTTATATTATCTTTGTTAGTCCTCTCCATATGTGATGATTTCAGTGTTTATGTCTTTATATTGTACTTGTCTTTATTTAGGTTTATGTTCTTGTTGTGCTATTTTGTTATTATGATTTGATATCAATTATTTTAATATATCTGATCCTAATTTATATCAATAAAAAATATCTTATTTTTATTAGTTGTTTTTGTTCTTTATTTGAAATGTAAATTTGCCTATATAATATTCCTGTTTTAATAGATATAAAAGTGTTATAAACTAACTTATATTACAAAACTAATTTCATTATAAAATCTAATTTTTCAAAAATTTAAGTTAACTTTTAACTCAATCAAGTTAAGGATATCAATCTCATGTTCTTTTTACGCAAATATAATTTAAATATTATTATTGTAATTTTAATATCTTATTATTTTTTATTTCTCTTTTTAATATAATTATCTTTATAATTAGAGAAATTTAATTTTTTATATTATTTATTTTGGAAAGATTAATTAAAAAAAGGGATATAAAAAATATATAATGGATACAAAAATCGAAAGAATACGCAATGATTCACAAATTAAAAAAGGGCATAAAATTAGCTCAAATACAAAAAGATGTACAAATAGTGCCCCTAATATTTGAAAAGATGAGCAATGTCATCAATTAAATATATATATATTTTTTTTTCTACCGTCTAATTTTTATTTCAAATCAATCTCATTTTCAATTATCTTTTATTTTGAAAATTGAAATTAACTAATCTTTATTTTATCAATTTTGTAATAATTCTTGTTATCTAATTGTCTAAAATGCATCAAGACCTTAATCAATTTTTCTTATCTAAAATATGCTTTAATTTAAATTCCTTGAATTATTCTTTTTCCTCTAATGATAATTAACTTTGTTATTGCAATTCTATTTCCATCTCTTTAAAGATCAATTATTATAGTTTCTTACATGACATTTTTCATTTCAATCTTCTTTTTTCCTTTTTGTTATTGTCAAAAGAGGGAGTTAATTTTTATTTTTTGTGTTTATGTTGTATGTGTTAATATTTATTTTTTGGTTTTTGCTATTTGTTTAAATAATTTTTTTTTTTTATTGTGATCTTCATGGAATTTCTCTATGTCACATGTTCATTCTTTTAGGGAAAACTAAGGAGAAATTTAGGGTATACAAGTTTACTCAAATAATAATTATTTTGCCATCATAAAAAAAAAAGAGAAATTATTGAGATAGTTACAACTTAATTTTTTATTGTTGATATTCTTGCAACTTATATATTTTTTATGATTCTAAATATTATTGCTTTGATTATTATTTCTCCTAACATATTTTGGAATGCATTATTTTGTTGTTTGTGAGTACTAACATTTCAGAGAAATCACACTCTAAATTGTTGAACACTTCAAATCAGATCAGTTTAGGATTTATTGTAAATGAAGTATGTATTTTTCATTTTATTATATCTGAGAGAGTGTGATTGTAATTGAGTAACTATGTATACACCAAAGGAGAGTTTAAAATTGATAAATTTTAAACTGATCGTACTGTACGGATTATTTTCGTACGGGGTGATTTGTTCAGTTATTTTCTCATGCGAGCAGTCAAACGATCAGAAAGTAAAAAAATTTTCTAAGTATGAATCGTACTGTATGATATACCAATCGTGTGTACGCCATTAAGGGTATGAATTAGACGGGTCCCTTTTTCGTCCAGACGAACTTGAAAATTTTTTGAACGGTTCATACCATACGACATCGTCATCATACGTACGCCATCTAGCATACGAATTGGACGGGTCCCTCTTTGTCCAGATGAATGTGAAAATTTTATGAACGGTTTGTACCGTACGATGTAGTCATCGTACATATGTCGTCCAGTGTATGAATTGGACGGATCCTTTTTCATCCAGACGAACTTAAAAATTTTCATAAATGATTGTACCGTACGATGTCGTCATCGTATGTACGCCATCTAGGGTACGAAATTGTGGGGTCCCTCTTCGTCCCGACGGAGGTGAAAATTTTTCTAACTGTTAGTACAGAACGAACTCATACTGGATGATCATCGTGTACGATTTTGTTTCGTACTGATTCATATAAGGTTCGTACGCAACAGTTTTTGAACTGTTCGTACATAAAAACGTACGAACGTACTATATGTTCGTCTATACGTACTATATGTTCGTCTATACTCAAAATGAAAATTTTTAATTTTCTGGATGATTTTTCATATCTTTGATATATAAAGTCCTCTAAAACTGACGTGAAAAAGTCTTGTCTTCGTGAATTTTCAAGAGCAAGTGAAAAAGAGAGTGTGGGAGAGTGTTTGAGAGAAATTTCTTGCAAGTGGAGTGTAAAGGGTTCACAAGGTTACTCAAATGTAAGGATCTCTTTGTGTTTTTGGTGATTACTCTTCTTTTCTTCTTTCTAGTTGCTCGTAAGAAGATTTTTGAAGAAGATCTGGTACTTTGCCGACACTTGGAGGGTGTGAAATGAGGATGATACTCTATAAACACTTGGAGAGTGTAAAAGGACGACAGTACTCTACCAATACTTGGAGAGTGTGAACAGACGACGGTACTTTGTCGACACTTAGAGGGTGTGAAAGAATGATGGTTCTCTGCTGCACCGAGGATTGGTGAAAAAGAGCTTTTGTAGAGGTTTCTCCGCCTTGATGTGGGGGCAAAAGAAGAGTCACTTTGATAATAGTGCAATACCTGAAGAGAATCTTCAGGGAGTGGATGTAAGTCATGTTTTGTCGAACTACTATAAATCTGTCTTTTAAATTTTTGCATTTATTTACTGCAAATTATTTACTGTGGTTGAAAAGTTTATTTTGAAACTTAAAAAAAACTTGCTACAAGATTTAAAACGATTTTCTAATTAAAAATCTAAGAAAATTTTTAAATAACCAATTAATCCACCTCTTGATTAACCTTGGGACAATAACTTAGGTTTAACAACCTATAAGTAATCAACAAATCTAACAAGAAAAAAAAATCATTTGAGATGCACTTATTTTAGTGGCCTAAAAAATCACTAGACAGATTTTTATGAGAAATGACACATTTTTAGTTGAAAAGCACTTAAATTAGCTCTCTTCTCTTCATCTAAACTTTTGAAGCAACTGCCCCACGCCTCCACTCTGCCATTATAGATGAGAGATAGATGTAAACATTCTCTTATTCATCCAATCGCATCATCATCATCACTAAACTTACTAACTGAAATTGATCTTCCCAACAAATAATAACAATGACACTCGAGAGATCCTATTGACAACCAAAAGAATAAAACTATAAAAGCCACCTACTCTAATTTCCAATAAATAAACTTCAACTATACAAACTTCTGTTCTGTGAGCAGACATTGGTAATTAATGGATCGATGTTTCAACTACAGCTCGGACAGTAGATACAACATTAAAACAAATGGTCAAAAAAGTAATCTGAGGCACCTAAAGAACAGCACTATGTGAACATGAATTGCCTGAATGAGACGAGCAGAATATTCTGGGCAAGCATAATCCACACGGGAAGACAGTTATTTTCCAATAGGAGTTAAATATTCAAGTTATTGGGAATTATCAAAAATAGAGCGGCAAACAGATAAATGGAATACAGAGTAATGTACAAGATATACATTTATCTCATTCCATTCAAAGTCTTGTCCCTACAAAGTTAACTGTCACGAATCAAATTGGTAGGCTCGCTCAAAACATACTTTGGCAATTCATACTTTGCTCCTGTAATGAAGTTTTCTGTTAATTAACATTAGTGGCAGAAATTTCATCAGAGTAGATAGAAACCTTCTTACCCCTTTCATCATAGCAGGTGGTCATGTCGGTATTCGCAAGGATGATACCCGCACTATCCACAATGGTTTGTGCTAGGTTGACATCAGATTCTGCAGCGGCACGGAGAGCATCCCAAATCTCTGTGATAGTAAAAGGTAAGAAAATGGATTAGTTTAGCACAGATTATCTGTTATTACTTAGAAACTTCAGATCTGTTTCTGCCCCCATAGATGGGAGCAAGAAGTCTTGGGTAAAACTTCCGTACTTCCAAAATCAAATTATGTAATTATAAAAAGCAACTATGTAGTACCAACAGCAACAACAACATCAAGCCCTTATCCTACTATGCGGGGTCGACTATATAAATCATTTTTCTCTATTGTGTCTATCAAGAGTCAAATTCTCATTTAAGTCTAATTAAGAAGAGTCATTTCTAATACTTTAGAACCAAGTATTTTTAAGTTTACCTTTACCTTTCTTAACATAAATTAGATATAATACAACTACTCTCCTAATCACGTCATCGGAAGGCCGGCATTTTATGTTACAAAATTATCTAAGGTGACTCTCTAATTTTATTGGCCATTGGAGCTACTCCAACCTTTTCCAGTATATACTCATTTCACATTGTCTATAAGAGTAAAGCCACTCATAAGAGGAAGTGGCCTCTTCTTTGAAAGTGGGCAAACTTATTTATTAATAAATAAATATAAAAAAATAAAAATATATAATATATAATTCATAATAAATACTTGAATGTAATTATGGTCCATGAATTGAATAATAATTACAACTTTTTAATCTATTTTACATTTTTTTTATAATATTACATTACTGTTTTATGAAAAATTAAGTCAAATACTTCTTTCTCAATATATAGTACTAAACAGTCATAGAACCAATTGTCACCAATTCTACTAGCTCGAACTCGGCTCCTCCCACTATAAACAAGCTCGAGTCGCTCACAAGCCTCAGGCAGTCTGGTTCGTCTTCTGCGAATAGCGAACCGCTCCGAGGTCGTTCGTGATCTTTCGCCGCCTTCCGCAAACTAGTTCCACTCTGCGGTCCCGCCTTTTGCTCTGCTTACACGTTTATAAGGTCGAAGAACTTTACACACTTGCAGTTTAATAGGCTTACATGCGCTCGGTCTGCTTTGAATCACGAAGAAGCAGAATTTTTAAAACCGCAGGCGAGATTTTTAAAATTATAGGCAGGATTTAAAAAAAAATGTTGCAATGCTTAGCATTTATTATTAATTTTTGTAAATATTCAAATTTAATAAATAAAACAAAATTATCTTTTTGCTTTAGTCATGGACATTCTCACTAGACATTTGCAAGAGGTTGTACTCTGGTGTATGCTTTTTGCTAATGATATTCTTCATGTTGATAAGAATAGGAAGTGGGTTGAAGGTAAACTTGAATTATTGAGGTCAACCTTAGAGTCTAGAGGCTTTCGTTTGAGTAGATCTAAAACTGAATATATGGAGTGTAATTTTAGTAAAATAGATCTAGTGGGGGATTATAACTTTGGGTGATCAAGTCATTAATAAAAGTACAAGCTTTATATATGTTGGGTCTATTGTTCAGAGTGATGGTGAAATAGATGGGGATATTGTTAGCAGAATTCAGGTTGGATTGTTAAAATGGAGGAATACAATGGGCTTGTTGTGTGATAGAAAAGTCCCTCTCAAACTTCAGGGAAAATTCTATAAGATGGTAGTGAGACCTACAATACTTTATGGTGTAGAATGTTGGCCATTAAAAGAAAAGCATAATATTAAGTTATGTATTGCAAAGATGAGAATGCTCAGGTGGAAGAGTGGATTTACTCTCAGAGATAGGATACAAAATGAGCATATATGTGAAAAGGTTGGAGTAGCTCCAATAGAAGATAAGATTAGATAGAGTTGCCTTAGATGGTTTGGTCACATAAAACAGAGGCCTTCCGATGACCAGGTTAGGAAAGTAGATGTATTATATTTAATTTATGTTAAGAAAGTTCGAGGTAGATCTAAAAAGACTTGGTTATAAAATATTAAAAATGACATTTCTTTATTAGATTTAGATGAGAATTTGACTCTTAATATGACACAATGGTGAAAAATGATTCATGTAACCGACCTCACATAGTGGGGTAAAGGCTTGTTATTATTGTTGTTGTAATAATAATTCGAACTGGCACGTATGCTCACAAGCCGAGGCTCATCAATCTCGAACTCTAGCTCGTTTAATAAACGAACTTGAGTTTGAGCTCAAGCTCGAGCTCGTGGCTCGATAAGCTAGGCTCAAGATCTCGTTAATGAGTCAAGCTTGAGCTAGCTCATGAGCTGGCTCGGCTCACTTACACCCTTAACTGGAAACAAGTGATCATTACATTTGTACGCTCATCTCAAAATTTAACTAAAGAATATCCAATCGCTATATACCTACTTACAAAACTTTTTAGGAACACTTCTAAATCATTAGATTATTGTTCACAGTACTGAGAAGGCAAAAAAATGCTGATAATAAAACTGAATTCCTCAACTAAATTTTTCATATTCAAGCGCCTGTGCCAGAAGAGAAATGATCAAGACCATACGATAGGGCACAACGCTTCAACATCTAAGGCACAAGCATAGATTGCTTAAATGTTTCTCTGAAGGCTGATGCTTAGAACTACAACAATAGGATGAACAAGAAACATTTAAGCCAAATTACGAGAAGCCAAATCCGAATGTATAACAGAACAGGTCTTAGTGGGCTTTTCGAGCACTAACAGAGATAAATTACAAGATAAGAAGATCGATCATTAATAGGCCATGTTGGATTCAAATTGATCTATAGGTGACATTAGTACCTCACTAATAAGAATGGATAAAAAATAAAGAAGAGATGAGAGAAGGATCTTATCGATAAAAGCTCTGGGATTCACTAGATTGTCAAAAAAAAAGGCTGATATGATTAATCAAATATGTCAAACCCACTACTAACCCCCTATTTATTAATTTGGGTTGAGGCACAAAGTTAAATGAAAGGCTACATTTAAGCAATACAAGTAAATTACATAGCAAGGTTTAACAATTGTTTAATATAAAATGAATAAACTTAACTAACTAACTACTAGCTTTCTAATCACATAAAGAACTAATAATAGCTTAGAAATAAAGCATGAGCTCAAGCGAAGCTGTTGTCAACTTCACTTCAAAATGAAGAGTGTCTTTGAGACTTGGGTGAGTTCATTTTATCAGTTGGGTGAGAAACCATAATGACTTATAGTAATCTCTAGGCCAAATAAACAATGGTCAAGTACAAAGGGAAATATGTCAAATATCTTTGTCATTCATCATCTTAGGTCTGCTCTGACTTACTCTGTTCTTTCGCCTAGATGAAATGTTTTGTAAGCTTCAGCCTTAGCCACCATCTATATCATGATCATGTCTCTTTTACATTAAAGAAGTGCAAGAAGGTAAGGTTTTGATAGAAGATATCATATATGGACATGTTGTTTGATCCAAGTCACCTCCAAAGAAGGTAAAGTTGGAACCCAGCAAGAAGAGTAAGTTGGTTATTGATCCTAAGGTTCCGAATAATCATGTGACATCAGCGAGTCCTCTCCCTCATGAAAATGCAGATAAACAATTAGTGTCGACAAAAGAAGTTGTGGAAAAGAATCCACCAGTCATTATAAATATAGGTGAGTAGGACAATACTTTTTTAATTAAATATAACAATATTGTTATAATATTTACAATAACCAAGCTTCCAAAAGAGGTCAAACATAAAGTGAAGGTGCCCGAGGAGTGAACAATTACCTCTTTTTTGTCAAAATCCTTCTTAGATGAATAAATTACAACATCTATAGACACAACTTTAGGAAGAGTGCTAACGAGAATTTACTCGTTCCCAAAACCACTTAATAGGCTAAATCTAAAAGTCCTTCGATTCTTGATACCCCTTCTACGAGAGGTTCTTTTGAAAAGATTCAAACTAGTGCAGGAGAAGAGAACTTGAATTTCACCATGGAAGCCGGTAATAAAAATTTTGCACAAGAGAGCCCTAAAATTGAGGAAAACGCTAGCAAAGTTGTCTTGGCTATTGAATCCACTGAAATTGTTGTTTAAGGCCAAAAGAAGTATAAGGCTTCTTTAAAACATAGCCTTTCAGCACATAATTTAGCTATGATTATTATTGAGGTTTGTTATTTGAAGTCTTCTACAAATACGCTAATGCTGACTCAAATATAGCCGACTTTTTGGATCATCCCACTGCACCTTTAGTTTTAAGAGAAGTCGGCTTACTCCTTTGGATGATAAGCTTAAAGCACTTCTCAATCGCCATCCTACATAGGGTTGCAAATGAACCGAGCCGAGCCGAGTATGTGATTTTTCATGTTTGAGTTCATTTATTATCAGCTTGTTCAAGTTTGGTTCATGTTTGATTCGAGCTTTATTATTTGTGTTCATATTTAGTTCATTTAAATTAATGAGTGTTCGTGTTTGGTTCATGTTTGGTTCATGTTTAGTTCGTTTAGTGCTTATCAAGCTTTAAACAAACAAGCATTAACAAGCTATAAACGAGCTCTACTTCTAGATGTTCCTTAACTTAATAAACGAGCTCTATCGAGCCTCCTAAAAAACAATTACATAAAACATGTTTGTGAACATATTTAGCAAATTTTTTTAATCAATCAAACAAGCACGTTCATGAATATATCTAACGAGTATTCTTGAGCTATCAAATGAGCAAGTTTATGAACATATATAGCTAATTTTTTCGAGCTACCAAATGAGCTTGTTCACGAATAATGTTTAATTACTTTAAATTTATTATTTAATGATAATTATAACATTATGTTATAATAAATATAAAATATTTATATCATGTATATCTATCAATTTTATAATCAAATATTAATTGAGTTTTTATCAAGCCTATTCACGAGTTCTAAATCGAACACGAATTAAGCTTTTATCGAGCTTCTCATTGAGCTTAATAACGAGCTTGTTCATGAGCTTTAAAGGATGTTGGTGTTTATGAACATAAATGAGCCGGGCACATTAGTGTCCAAACTTGTTTATTTAAGGATCGAGTATTTAAAATATTGTTCAAGTTTGTTTGTTTAGTGAATTAAACGATCACAAACAAGCTTTAATCGA